TAGCTGTGGGACTACTCTGCAGCTTGCCTGGGGTTCTCTTTCTTCCCGTAGAGACGGCTGGTGGGCTGGCTGCTGCCCGTGCTGCTGCGGCTGCTGCTGCTGCAAAAAAGCCATCAGCGGCTGCTGCTGCTTCTGTTGGTGGTTCTAAATCAACATCAGCTGCTGCTGCTGTGGCTGTCCATGGAGGGGCCGTTTCTGCTGCTGCTGCTGCTGCTGCAGTGAAAGACACATCGCGCAGCCGCAGCAGCAAAGCGCGCAGCACGCAAAGCCAGGTGTCTGCTGCTGCGTCGCCTCCCATCTGACTGCTTGGGCCTGCTTCGCTGCTGCTGCTGCTGCTGCGGCTGCTGTTGCTGCTTCTATCTGCCGTGCAAGCAGCAGCAATTGCTTGCTGCAGCTGCTGCGGGGTCCCGTGAGCAGCAGCAACAGCGTCAGTCAAGAAGTCAAGAAGGCAGCAGCAAACTGAAGAGGGGCCCCACCAGTCTTCGCGGGGGGACACAATAACCTGCAGTGCATGCAAAGTGCAGCAGCAGCAGCAGCAGCAGCAGCAACGGACAATGGCAAGGAGCCCCAGCAGAATTCAGCTGTCTCAGCAAAAACCCACGTCACCGTGACTGCAGCAGCAGCAGCAGCAGCAGCAGCGAAAATAGCGAAAATATGGCCCTGTGCAGCAGAAGCTCTTACTTGCTGCAGTGCCTCGCCGTCTGCTGCTTGAATGACGGCAAGAGCAGCAGCTGCTGCAGCTTGCTGCAGCGCAGCAGCCTCAGCCTTCCCAGCTGCTGCTGCTGCAGCAGAGCCGCTGCCCCACCGGTGCAGCAGCAGCGCCGTTGGGGGCTTAGCAGCAGCAGCTTCGTTTGCATGCGCGAGGCAGCGGAAGCAAAAGGAGAGCAGCAGCAGCAGACTGGGAGGGTCTGCTGCAGCAAAGGGGACAGCAGCAGCAACGACGTCGAGCAGCAGCAGCCGCTTCCTTGCTGCAGAGACTGCTGAGGGAACTGCAGCAGCACCTGCTCGCTGCAGCAGCAGCAAACTCCAGCCTTCGTCTCCCAGTGCTGCTGCTGGCGGCGAGCGCTGCAGCAGCAGCTCCATTGCATGCAGTCGCAGTGCCTCAGCAGCCCCAGGAAGAGCAGCAGCAGCAGCAGCAGCAGCAGACTCTGCTGCTGCAGCGCAGCGCTCGTTCCTGCAGCTGTCGCAGCACCAGCTGCCACTGCTGTCTTCTTCTACTCCCGATGGTCCTGCTGCTGCTGCTGCTGCTGCAGCTGTTTCAGCTGTTGCTGCAATGCCCTCTGCTGCAGCAGGGGGAGGGATTATAAGGCACTGCACTGACTGCAGCAGCTGCAGCAAATGGCAGCGGAAGAAAACTCCGAAATCGCCCTCAGCATCCTCTCCCGCTGCTGCTGCTGCTCCTGCTGCTCCTGCTGCTGCTGCTGCTGCTGCTGCTGCTGCAGCAAGAGACACAATTCCGTGTCTCCGCATTGCGTCGCAGACTGAGGAGACAAGAGGGGGGCACGGGAGGCCTTCTGTTGTCTCCAAGGAGATAAGGCTGCAGCAGCAGCAGCAGCAGCAGCAGCAGCAGCAGCAGCAGCAGCAGCAA